CGGCAAACCATGGTATTAGGAACGAGAGGATGTGGAAAGAGATCAGATGACTCTCTTCCCGCCTTGCTGTGCACTAAAAGTAAGCCAGACAGTGTCTTGTAAAGTATTAAGGCTCCTCGAGGTGCTAATGCTGCAATGCATTGTCTCCCGAGGACCCTCCCTGTCGATCCCTGTCTCGCCTAAAGAGCCGCTGTTAGCGCTCTAACGCGCTCGAAATGGTCTTCAGATTGCAGTGCATCTCCGTAAACATACTTATTGAAGTACGCACATGCGGCGATGGCTCCATTCCTCAGGGCCTTGTTGCGCTCTTCGCGGTGCCATCTCCGCGGAAAGCAAGATATTTGGTACCGTCCTTTGCCGCGTTCTCTATCAAGACTCCGTAGACAGGTTTAGCAACGAATTTTAAAAGAATGATTTAAAGCGGGAATAGCCCTACTCTTCTACCGCTAACTCGATTAGGCAATATCACGAACTTCGGCGAAACCTTTGCCGAAGAGTCACAAATCTCTTTGAATTTCACTTATTCTTCTTCTTTCACCACATATATACCTCATGAACTCCTTCAATGATGGGGCCCTCGTTGCGACGACCTTTATAATTATATTACTAGGCTATTAAGCTGTAATCGCCACTACACCACGTTATAGATATATCCCCCCAGTGAAGTACAAGCAGACCGATGTTAAGGAGTCATTGTGATTTGACTTATATATGCGTGTGATGTAAAAGATGTTGATTAATCTATGTGCCCGCAGGCATCTCATAATAATTACCTACAAAAAACAGAGAAATGCCATGTCCTTATAGCAAGAAGCATGCATGCATAGTTTTTGGGCGAATTACATTTTCATACCCCAAACTATGGGATTCTTACAAATTCATACCCCATCTTACATTTTCATACCCCAATGGGGTATGAATTTGTAAGATACCATTAACAGGGGGTATGATTTTGTAAGATGTCATTAATAGGGGTATGATTTTGTAAGTTGCCATCTATAGGGCGGGTTGGTGTTAGGAATTTGTTGAAATGTGGCCCCCGCGCATCCCAGCCACCATGTTTTCCAGCCACCTGATTTTGTACTGTATTTAGGACCTGGCCCCGGAGAGGTTTTGGAGAATCAATCCGTCCGTTCTACACACCACATACCTGAAATTCTAACAGGTTATGAGCCCGGTTTTGACGCTGCTACTATACCTCGCTGCTACCATATCGTCCTACTACCGTACCTTGTCCTACTACCGTACCTTATCCTACTATCGTACCTCGCTACCACTATAAGCCCGGTCTGCAGGGCATACAGGCTAAGTCGCTATGATGCCAGCTTCCTACAAGACTAATTCAGGTAACAGAGTTATAACCCCCGTCGTCGTCGCAAAGAACCCTCGTCGTCGCAAAGAACCCTCGTCGTCGCAAAGAACCCTCGGAATAGAAAGAATAGGATAGTGGCAAAGAGGAACGTCGCGAAGGACTACAGACAATGGAGACACGTGCCAGTGTGGCATACAAGTTCTATGTGGAATGGCTACATTACTCCGAGGTGGAGTGTCACGTCTTACTCTTGTTACCCAGGAAGGGTGTTATGCTCTAGAGGCATGTTATGTTACCCCAGGAAGGGGTGTTACGTTAAGAAGACGTGTTACCCAGGATGGGTGTCAAATGTTACGTCAGGAAGACGTGTTACACCAGGATGGTGTGTGTTACGGCTGGAATGGCCTATCGTTGTTGAAAGGCTGGAATGGCCTCTTGTTGAAAGGCTGGAATGGCCTGTGAAAGGCTGGAATGGCCTCTTGTTGAAAGGCTGGAATGGCCTCTTGTTGAAAGGCTGGAATGGCCTCTTGTTGAAAGGCTGGAATGGCCTGTGAAAGGCTGCCTGTTGTTGAAAGGCTGGAATGGCCTGTTGTTGAGAGGCTGGAATGGCCTGTGAACGGCTGGAATGGCCTATTGTTACGGCTGGAATGGCCTATTGTTGTTACGGCTGGAATGGCCTATTGTTGTTACGGCTGGAATGGCCTGTTGTTGTTGAGGCTGGAATGGCCTGTTGTTTGTTGAGGCTTGTTATTGTTACGGCTGGAATGGCCTGTTGTTGTTGAGGCTGGAATGGCCTGTTGTTGAGGCTGGACCTGTTGTTGAGGCTTGTTATTGTTACGGCTGGAACGGCCTGTTGTTGTTGAGGCTGGAATGGCCTGTTGTTGAGGCTGGAATGGCCTGTTGTTGGGAGTTGTGTATAGCTTCATTTCTTGTTGGGTGGACTGGGAGCGTGGCTGCAGGGGAGTGTTGAAATGTGGCTCCCGCGCATCCCAGCCACCATGTTTTCCAGCCACCTGATTTTGTACTGTATTTAGGACCTGGCCCCGGAGAGGTTTTGGAGAATCAATCCGTCCGTTCTACACACCACATACCTGAAATTCTAACAGAATTATTCCTCCGGGGGCCCCTGCGGGGCCTCTTAGGGGTGTCTGCAGCGTGAAATGCAAACACCCCTATTTTACCCTTTAGCGGTAACTCGGGTTACTAACGATTGGGGTAGGTAGCCTGGAACACCCTAAATACCCTTCTAATGATTTACAGGTATAGGGATAACTACATCTACAAGTTGATGGTATCTTACATTTTCATACCCCAAGAAATGGTAACTTACAAATTCATACCCCAAAGACTGGCAACTTACAAATTCATACCCCATTTTTTTGGTGAGGGGTATGAAAATGTAAGATGGGGTATGAATTTGTAAGAATCCCATAGTTTGGGGTATGAATTTGTAATTTGCCCATAGTTTTTCGAATGCTGGAAAGAAATGGAGACACCGGGCTAATTAGTGGTGTGTATCCCACGAAATCTCCTACTGGAATGAAAACTTTCGAATAATGAAATGGCTGTCGAAACAAGACATCGGACGGTTTCAATTCGTCCAAATATGCATCGTCCGATAGATGACCCCTGCCTGCAGAGGTTTAATTGGCTGTGATCGACGTAGTAGATCCTTCTCTTGTGTGCTTATTGCAGTGATGTACTACAATATGATATTGCCTAGGCACGCGGATATAGCAGGCCAAATTGTAGTGTCGTTCTCCGCCTGCTGAGTGGTGATTTGACGTGGGATCGTGGAGAGCATATGTCGTGGGATTTTGGAGAGCTGAGCCGTGTTCTTGATGATGGTGGCCTTATTGTCGCTTGGTCTCTCCGCAGTGTTCTCCGCATTTGCCTGCTGCGGTGGTCCCTCCTCTTGCTCAACTGAGTGCTCTGGCTAAGTGGCTGACTGAGTGGATAACTGAGTGGATTGATATGAGACTGTGGAGAGTAGACCTGTTGTGTCACTGCTGCTGCTGACTATCTCCGCAAAATTCTCCGTACTGCATTGCTCCTCCTCTTGTTGAGTGATTGGCTGAGTGACTGGCTGAGTAGCTGACTGAGTAGATCGGTGTGAGATCGTGGAGAGCAGGTCTGTTGTGTCACTGCTGCTGCTGACTGTCTCCGCAATGTTCTCCGCATTTGCCTGCTGCAGTGGTTCCTCCTCTTACTGAGTATCGGGCTGGTGTGAGATCGTGGAGAGCAGGTCTGTTGTGTCACTGCTGCTGCAATTCTCTCCGTAGTGCATTATTCCTCCTCTTGCAGAATATCAGACTGAGTGACTGGCTGAGTAGCTGACTAAGTAGATTGATGTGAGATCGTGGAGAGCAGATCTGTTGTGTCACCGCTGCTGCTGAACTGTCTCCGCAATATTCTTTCAATTTTGTATGTCTAAATAAGCAGTTACGCTAACGCCGTATAGGGCAACTTTGCATTTTTTTTTTTTTTTTTTTTTTTTTTTTTTTTTTTTTTTTTTTTTTTTTTTTTTTTTTTTTTTTTTTTTTTTTTTTTTTTTTTTTTTTTTTTTTTTTTTTTTTTTTTTTTTTTTTTTTTTTTTTTTTTTTTTTTTTTTTTTTTTTTTTTTTTTTTTTTTTTTTTTTTTTTTTTTTTTTTTTTTTTTTTTTTTTTTTTTTTTCCCCCCCCCAAAACCATTTTAAAAAGATTATTATAAACTACTCCACTATCAGTTGAACCAGTTGGTTTTGCGGTTAGAACTGCATCAACTATCAACCGGTAGACCCCAAACTGCACCATCAACTACGAGAAACTAACGGTTCCACTGATAGTGGACCAGTTAGTTGGTCCACCATTGCCAGCCCTGTCTATGTGACATATTATGCTGCTCCATTAAGCTACCAATATTCGCTCGGCGGTCAACAGAGCAGCTCTTGAAGTGGGCACGGAATATACCGTCAAAAACGGAAGTTGACTTGACCACCATCAAGTCGTATGGAAGTCTCCGCATTTCCAGGATGCAAATTTCAGAGTTGCGTCCTACCAAAGCTCGTTTTGGCATTGAGAATTTGATTCGAGTACCACATTTCTCTTCAATCAAGAAGAGGCCATGGTGGGCGCCCAAGGAGCGGAACCTGTTCTTCGTTGGCAGTGAACGAAGGAAGACGGTTGAGACTGCGGTGTGGCAAAAAGCTCTAGGACAGATACGGAATACTCGAGAAAAGTCCAATGAAGAAGCGCATAACCGAAAATAGTCAGCACATCCGGTGTATGCCCAAAGAAAGTCGAGTCTTGGGTGTTCATTTTCCCGTGTTCATTTACATCAAAGATTCAAAAGAAGCCTCTAATTCATTTACCGGAGACAGAGCCGGTATTCAGGATCAGCCAAGAGGGTAATATTCTAACGAGGCGCTGAGGGTACTTCTTGCTGTGGTAAATTCATCTGGCAGCTTGCAAGTGAAACCACAAATGTCGAACTTCTGAGGGCATCTTCCGTTCACTTTCGCCAACTGAGGCTCAATTCACCTAAAAAGCACGCTAGTGTTTCCCAAGATCTACGAGACTCACATCCTTCATCACACTCTCGTCCAACTCAACATTATCTTCCACTCAACATCGTAACGCTCTTTCGATCCACTTCGCTCCATCTTCCTCTTACATCCGACATCCGTACCAAAAATCAACCTAAGACAACATGTCTTCAACCCCTCAGCTCACTGCTCGCGATGTGAACTTGCTCGCAATCGCCTTCCAGTCATTGAAGGATGACAGTGCACTGCAGGTGAGCTCGGATAGCGTTTCCTAACATCAAAACATTTTCCTGGCCTTGACTGTTTCCACGTCATCCGTTCTGCACATTCTACGGCTTCAAATTTCAAGCTTTCCTACTGCACCTCACTTCTGTCATCAAATTCGTTTGGAAGCAGCCTTTCCGTTGACACTCAACGCAGATCGACTACGCCAAGATGGCCCAGCTCGCCGGGTACAAAACCGCCGCATCAGCCAATGCCTGCTTCCTTACCCTTAAGAAGAAGCTCATGGCTGGCGCAAGCGTCAGCAATGCCGCCGCCGCTCCCACTCCGAAGAAAGCCAAGGGCAAAGCTGCTGCCAACGGAGACGCCGACGATGACGATGAAGCTACCTCTAGCAAAGCTGCTCCTAAGAAGCGCGGCAAGGCCATCAAGACCGAACTTGCCGATGTTGAAGGAGGTGACGCCGATACTGAAGTGACTCCCGGCGCCGAGTCTCCTAAGAAAGGTCGTGCAAAGAAGCGTACTGGCCCTTCCAAGACTGAGGCCAACGGTGACACTCCCACCAAGGCCACCACCAATGAGGATGCTACCAACGACACCGCTGCCACCGGAATCACCACTCCCACCCCCACCCCCACCCCCAAACGCAAGCGTGGCCCAAGCAAGCCCAAAGATCCCAACGCCACTCCCACTAAGCGAGCCAAGAGAAATGCCAACGCAAAAGTCACTACCAGTGCCGATGGGGCCGCCGCCGACGACAACAATGACGCTGCCAACACCCAGCTTCACGGGGTTGAGACCGTCGCTCAGACCAACGGGGAGGGCTCCATCTTCGGCGGCGACGCCAACGTCAAGGAGGAGGAGCAGGAGGGTGACGACCGTTGCTTTGATGCGGAGGAGCAGAAGATGGCCGAAGATGAGCTGTTCAACATCTACACCACTGAGGGCCAGGCTGCTTGAGGTGAAGATACCCTTGCGTCCTTGCTTTATCCAACTCTGTCCTCTCTCTCTTTATAGATCTGTATTCAGCGTGGCTTCCGCCGCATTTACTATGATATCTGTACACACTACTAACAGCCCAACACAGTGTCCCGATCCCCACCAAAGTATCCGGTAACCAGCTACCTCGATCTCGCCTTCCTCTCAAAGATCGACTCAACGGATACGCTCCTGGTGGATCTGGGCATCAATTTCCCTTTCTCTCAGCGCTCGTGGGTGGATACTCGTCCTTGGTCATACGTTTCAGGTGGAAAGGGCATCAGATTTGCATTGGAAGTGGTGATCGTTTGGATCTCGAGATGATAGGTCGTCAGGTCAGGCAAGGACTGGAAGTTGGCTACATTGATAGCTCATCTAAGGCTTTAGCTACATCAATGCCAGACATTTAAGCTTCAAAGCATCTCGCTACTATTACATGCTTGCTATGACAGGAACGCTATCTGCTGATGGGATATTGTGTGAAGACGAACGAACGCATGTTTTAAAGCCGACGACGCCGAGTGAGAAATGCGCCAAAAAGAAGCGAACCGTCTAGACTGTCCATAACGTTGATTCAAAGCCCAAGCCAACCCTGCCACTCCAGCCCAGTATGAGGACCCCCATCGACGCAGTCATCCATCTGGACTGGGAGTCCTACAGCCCTTCAATAGCCCTTCTCAACACATCCACTCCTCTCGCCCCGACAGCCTCTTCCAGCTCTTCCCTGAGCATCCAAGCGACATCGCTCTGCATCCCCAACGGGATCCAGCACCCCTGTCTCGCCACGTCCAGAGTCTCCTTGATCTTAGCGGTATGCTCCCACTTCTTGGCCGCTACCTCCGCCTCCCCGACCACCTTTTCGGGGATCCCGCATATACTCGCACAATGCATGCCGAAGCTGCCCTCCGCGACTCCGTCTTCCAGCTTGTAAAGGAAGGTGACACGACGGTTTTCGTCGTCAACGTGTATACGCATGCGGCAGTTGCGGACTTCGGGGTGAGTGGCGAATTCGGCGGCTAAAGAATGGTAGTGGGTAGCGAAGAAGCCAACACAGCCAATATGGGAGGCGACATGGTGCAGAACCGCTTGGGCCACTGCCACACCGTCGTAGGATGAAGTGCCGCGGCCAAGTTCGTCGAGGATGACGAGAGAGCGAGGGGTGGCTTCGGAAAGAATCTTCTTGGTTTCTGCAAGCTCAACGAAGAAGGTAGATTGGGCGGCGAAGATATTGTCCTGTGCACCAAGGCGGGATATGATTCTATCGACGGGAGTAAGGCGAGCAGATATGGCGGGGACATAGCAGCCGATTTGGGCCATGATAACGGCAACGCAGGTTATTCTGAGCACGGTGGATTTACCAGCTGCATTGGCACCTGTCAGCAGGTTGAGGTTGGGCATTCCACCACCGAGCTTGACATCATTGGGGATGAAGTCTGTGACGTTGGGAAGCATGCACGGATGGCGAAGGTCTTCAAAATCGACCACGCTCCTTTCATCATGAACAAACTCAGGTCGATAGCTCGGCTTACCCAATGCTGAAGATGCTTTAGCCAGACATATCAAACAGTTCAATTGTGCCACAATTCGTACTGCCGCCAGCCACGTCACATAGTCTTCATCAAACTTCTTGAAGAAGCGGCCAGATACCTCTTTGACGATTTGGCCATGCGTTTCTTGTGCTTCTTGAAGTTTGCGGACGAGACCTCGGAGCTCAGGATTGTAGTAGCGCTTGACTTTTTGGGTTGCGGACATTTGATCCTAATTTTTCGGTATCCCTTTGACTTTTACAGGGACTTCGAGCTGGTATATTTCTTTTCCGTTGTCCGCGTAGACGATATCGTTGGATCTCAGTTCTTTCCTTGTCTTCTTCAGTAGAGTCTCCAAATCGGCCAGCAAGCTCTGAATGCGGTCTTGGCCAAGGCGCCCGATAGTCCGGACTACTAGTCCTGAGGGCCGGACTAGTCTAAATTGAAGCTATACAAATAGTCCATAGTCCGTCCAAAGCCTGGACTAGTCTAGACAATTTAGACTAGTCCCGGACTATTAGTCTACTTATATAAAGACTCTTCCGAAGCTTTCTTGCTGCTGAAGGCTACGGACCCTACGGCGATATTGAATGGGTTGATAGCAATAGTAGGGGCCTCCGATAGCTCGGAATCGCTGTTATTGTGTGCCATAATGATATATTTATTGAATAAAGAATGACTGTTCATGTGGCGTGCCTTGTAGACAAAATCTGGTCTTCGGTTGCTACTAAAAATACGCCCACTAGACTTAAATATGCACGCTTACAAATCGATTATTGGACTATTAGAACTAATAGTCCTAGACTAGTCTATCAAATACCTAGACTAGTCTAGGACTATTAACAAAATCATCGGACTAGTCTGGACTATTGGTCCAGTAGACTAGTCCAGACTAATAGTCCGATAAATAGTCCAGGACTATCGGGCGCCTTGGTCCTCTTGGCTCGCGTCGAAGTCCTCTTCGACGCCGCGCTCGGGAATAAGTAGGCCTGCTTCTTTTGCTTTATCCTGGTCAAAGGCATTATTCCAATACTTGAGGAGTTCTCTCATGTTTGGCATGCTCGTAACCAATTGACCGATGATCCCGTCGCCCGAGCCCATATTACGCAAGACGCCCATTGTATAATCGATCTGCTCGAAGCCATCAAGGACTCGCACAAATTCTTGAGCCTTGCATACACCGGCGTGAATGCGAGATATTGTTCGTTCAAGATCAGGCAGTTTCGAGAGCTGGGAAGTAAATTGATCCCGAAGGGTAGTATCTGCATTGAGAGACTCAACAGCATCGAGGCGTGCGTTGATCTTTGATGCGTCCATAAGAGGGTGGCATACCCATTGTTTGAACGTTCGCTTTCCAAATGGAGTGATGCATCGATTCAAGAGACTGAACAAGGTGCCCTCCGAACTGCCGTCAAACGAATTCGCGAAAATCTCGAGATTGATCAAGGTCTTTCCGTCCAGGATAAGGGTGCCCGCACTTCTGATGGGATCATACCAAGATACGTTGCCCAGGGTCACAAGATCACGCTCAATCTGCAGAGTCCGTAGATATTGAACCAATGCACCGAACGCAGACATCACAGACTCATGTTCCTCTCGGGCCTGCCGCAAAGGTTCTGGCCAAGCTTCGATGTTGTCTCCATCATCATTCACGAAGTATCGAGCAGCATCCATCTCTCTGCATGCGGTGTCCGCTGTCCAGAACTCTTTACCAGCCTTCAAGGATACTATTGACGTGTTTGGCCCAGTGCTGTTTTTTAAGATCCTCAATGCTTTCGTGGATGAACAGGACTTCTCAAGCAAGACTTCACGAGGCCTTATCTGCGCGATGAGCGTTTCAAACTTCGTCATCTCGACATCATCCTCGAAACCAGTCAAGAAGAATTGAGCGGTAGCGGTATCCACGAACGCGATGCCGAAAGCAGGCCGTCCCTCTTGCTCCGACTCCTTTATGGCCACGCAGTACGTGGACATGTCGTCTTGAAGCATGCCCGGGTCAACAAGAGTGCCGCTTGTAAGCACGCATGCAAGCTCTCGGTTGATGATCTTTTTCATCTTCTCGTCTACCTTCGTGGCCTTACCACACTGTCCGCTGTCTCGCTCTCGCATCTCTTTGCCCAAAGCAGATTCGACCTGGTCCACACGCGCAATTTTATATCCTTTAACCACGAACTGATTGGCCCAAATGTCTAAAGAAGCTTCGGGTACGCCGACCATGCGCATGTTTACACGATCAGTAAGCTTCAAGTCGAAGAGTTGATGCCCAATGGTGGCATCATTTTCGTAGAGCTCGTAGAACTTGCCCTTCTTGAAGAAGACTATTGTGTCCCAATGTTTTTGCTTGATCTCCCAGTACTGGTGTTCAAAAGGGGAGAAATCCATCCATGCCGACTTCGGTACGTACACTGTCCTTGGGTCGTAATCTGGATGATCTGGACGGTTTTTATCGATGTCGGTGATATTAGCTGGCTCTAGCCATTCGTATCGCCGTTCGACTTTGCTTGGCTTGGCTTTTCCCTTTTTGGCATTGGGCTCAGGTTTCTTTCCATAGATCGCTATGTTTTTATTTAAGATGTTATTTTATAATTATATTATGATAACAGACAGTGATAAGGAATCCGAGCTATCAGAGTCTCTTACTATCGCTATGAATCTATTCAGTATTATCGTAAGGTCTATAGTCTCGGACTAGTAGTCGGACCAGTCCAAATCTACTTGGAGTGGTTTAGTGTTTGGACGGACTATGGACTGTTTATATAGTTTTATTTTGGACTAGTCCGAGCCTCTGGACGGACTAGTTGGACTGTTGGGGGCATGATTAGGATACTCGATCCTTCGCTCCATTAGGAATGTGACCCGGTTTCGCCGCCCGAGTCGACTGTCCGAGTCCAATGTTTTGGAAACAACTTGGTATTATCGGGCCAACCGAGACTATCTCCTTCGATGCCGATTTAGCGTATTCAAAAACATCTGGAATGCTTGGCACCGGAGATCTTTCACACCACACACCCAAATTCGTACTGTAGCATAGAAATCTCTCCGCAAAATCATTCAAATCAAGTAGCCACATCGCAAATAGTCGCATTTAATCAATTTTGAAGCTATATAACCTCAGCTATACCTCCTAAACGCACCAATAACGCAGCAGCCACCGAACCGCCAAGAACTACCCCCTATAACTACTGAAATAGCCTCTGCTTAAGAAGCTCAGAAACAGATAAATGGGGGGCTGAGTGGTAGCAGCAGTCCCTACGGGTGCCCTGCGACGGCCCTACGGGGGCCCTACGAAGGCCCCGCGGGCCAAGTATTTAGGTCCAAATAGGGGTGTCTGACTGTCAAGCGCAGACACCCCCGGGACCAGGCTTTTTTAGCTGAGTTGCTAACACTGAGGAACATACCAAGACTTCAGTATAGCTTCATCTTTTTATTTAAGACCTATACTAACGATAGCAGTGTTATTGAATAATTTTGCGGAGAGATTTCTATGCTACAGTACGAATTTGGGTGTGTGGTGTGAAAGATCTCCGGTGCCAAGCATTCCAGATGTTTTTGAATACGCTAAATGACCTTCGTCTGTGTGACCGGCGGGGATCCAGGTATCGATTAGTTAAGGGCCTACGGTATCGAGATCGGTGTTGACGCCGCCATCGCAGCGGAGAGTTGAACAGCGCATGACGTTTGCACGGAGCAGTGAATCCTGGAGAGCTAGGGAATCACGAATGAGAACGGTGGTAACCCAATCTTGGAGAACGGAAAAGCCAAGTCGTGGGCTAAGAGAAATGTTGTAGATTTGCTTGGAGAAAAAAACCGGCAGGTCATGAGCTCGGTGTGGCCGTTGGAACAGTAGATGGCCGGCGTTGAGCAGCCAAAAGGTGAGACAGTGCTGCAGAAGCCGACGCCCCGAGACTTGCACCGGGTTGCGGACCCCGGACCGCTGCTGGAGAAGACGATGTCGGAATAAGGTTCCCAGCCTCCTCCCAGCCACCTGTTGGAACAACCACCTAATTTGTGAGGGGTACAAATACTGGCCCAGGGGAGTTCTGAGATGGAATAATTCATGCAATCTACACACTACTTATTCTACCATACCTGATATTCTGACAGGTTATGAGCCCGGGCTTGACGCTTAAGACACCACCGCTATTCCACATCTATTCTAGCCAGACTTGGACCCCGAAACCTCCACATTCAAGTCACCTATTCGTCAGCTTACGGATAATAATTACTCTGAATGGCTTATCGATATCAAAGCTCTTCTTAGGGGTAAAAAGCTCTGGAACTACACGCAAGAGGCCCCGGATCAGGATAAATCAGTCACGGCTCAAGCCAAATGGCGTGATTCAGCAATGGAGGCTGCAGACCTCATTACCCCTACCATAAGTGGCCCCGTTAAGCAGAAACTTCAGGCTAACGCTTTTGACGATGGCTACCTTATGATGACCTCCTTGGCCAATATCTATGCCCCGAAAGGTGACGCCGAATTCATGCGATTAACCCGGGAGTATTACTCGCTTTAATACGAAGATTTCGACTCTATGACCCACTATCTCACTCAAATCAAGACGCTCGAGGAGCGTATTCGCGGTACCAATGTGATTCTCGACGACGACAAGCAGACTCTTCTATGTCTCGGCATGACTCTCCCAGAACGATTTCAATATTTCACCAAGATATGGGCTATGACGCCGGGGATGACTGCGGATAAAGCGAGAAATATGCTTCTGGAGGAAGAGAGACGCGAAAAGACTTTGGACACTGGTACTGTGGGGGTGGGATTGGTTGCGACAACAAGACATCCGAGTAAGAGGACTCCTAGCGGAAAGGCTATCGACAACGATGTGGTATGTCCTCGCTGTGGGAAGGGTCACGAAGCGGATATCTGTTGGAAGTTACACCCGGAGTTGGCCCCGGAATGGCTACAAGAAAGGTGGACCATTGAGAAAAGATCTCGGAAGCGGAAATAATAAGTAACAATAAAAAAAGAAAAAAGAGCAATGCCAGGATATTTAGACCATCTCCACCTAATCCAGGTACGCCAACAGGGATTCCTTTTTCGCAATCCAGCAACAAAACCCCCAGTAACCAACATAACTACATATCTACTTTGATGTGTGGCCACTGTTGAAATAGGGACGAGTTACAGCAGCAGGATTAAGAGGTACTAGGTGAAGAAGGGGCGTTTATTAACTTATAACGACTAGGAAGACTTATCGGTGACGACTAGGAAGACTTATCGGTGACGGCCAGGAAGGCTCGTCGGTAACGGCCAGGAAGGCTTGTCGGTGATGATTAGGAAGGCTTGTCGGTGACGGTTAGGAAGGCTTGTCGGTAACGATTAGGAAGGTTTGTTGGTATTAGATTTGGATATAGCATCATGTTTTTGATTAGGCTAGGGAAGGTAGGTTATAGGGGAGTGTCGAAATAAGGTTCTCAGCCTCCTTTTAGCCACCTGTTGGAATAATCATCTTATTTGTGAGGGGTATAAATACTGGCCTAGGGGAGCCCTGAGATAGAAGAATTCATGCAATCTACACACTATTTATTCTACCATACCTGATATTCTGACACTGGGGACCAATCAAATATGGCCTCTTTTGCGGTGAGTTTTACCATGGGTTTGACTATTTTAGAGAAGTCTCTAATGAACCGCCGGTAAAAATTGCAAAATCCGATGAAGGCCTGCACCTCTTTGAGGTTGGTAGGTGTGGTCCACTCGACAACAGCCTGGATTTTGGTAGGGTCCATTCGCAACCCGTCCATAGACACCAGTAGACCTAAAAATTTGGTTTCCTGGACGTGGAATTCGCACTTAAGGATATCCACCTGGAGGCCGGCGTCCCTCAATTTCTGGAGGATTTGTCTGACGTGTTGGATGTGTTCCTTTTTTGTCTTACTGTGAATGAGTATGTCATCGAGGTAGACCTGGCAGAAATCGTTCAGGTATTCGAACAGAATGTCATTCATGTATTGTTGATATGTGGCCGGGCCGTTGGTTAGACCGAAGGGGAGGACTCGATACTTGTATGCTCCAAGGGAGGTGACAAAAGTAGTGAAATCCTCGCTATCGGGATGTATACGTAGTTTGTTGAACGCGGCTATGATATCTAACCGAGTGAGGTATTTGCATCCCTGGATCCTTGCCAAAACCTCATCTATTAGTGGGATTGGGTATCGGTTCCTTTTGGTAATAGCGTTTAGTTTCCGATAGTCCACACAAAAACGCAACCCTCCATTCGGCTTTTCCGCGAACAGGACAGGTGAGGCGAATGGTGCATGGCTTGGTGTTATGAATCCCTTCTTCAGATGTTCGTCCAGGTACTTCTTTACCTGTTCCAGTTTGTGTCCTGACATTGGATAGATTCTGCTTTTTGGAAGTTTCGTTTTGTCGGAGCTGTCGTTGAATTCGAGTTTGTGGTCATAAGGACGGTGTGGGGGAAGTATGTCCGCCTTAGTCCTGTCGAAAACATCGAGGTAGTCGTGATACTCCGCAGGTAGCTTACGTTTCACCTCCTCAGGACTAACCTCGTCGGTGCTATTGATCTGAATAGGGCAATTGGAACCACAACACCTTTTGTATTTCTTTCCTGAGTTGCAGGGACAGGGTTTATTGACCGGTACGCGAGGTCCGCGAGGTGTCCGTGTAGTGGGAGGTGTATGTGGTGTTGGCGAGTTGTTATAGATCTCATTCATTGTCAATGTAAACAGTTTGTTGCCTTTTTCACGGGCCAGTTGGTAGTAGGCCGCTGCACCAGTCTCAGCGATGTCAATGGACTCAGGCTCCTTGCTATTCTCGTCCTCATTTGATGAGGAGGTGTCCGAATCAGTCACGTCGTCGCAAGTGGGTGGGGGAGGGCTTTGTCGTTTTAGTATGACAGGTGGGGGGGTGGGTGGTGTGGGTGGTCGGAGCTCTGGAGTTGGTAGGAAAGGGAGTTCGTCCATTGTTGATATCTGATTACTATCATGATTACATCGACCGGGTAGAAAGAGTATCTTATCCCGTAACATGTCAAGGACTACCCCGTGTTTGTTCATCCAAGGCTTCCCGACTATCATGTCGTGTTTCAATGGTGCAATTAGCATTGGGCATGTTCCTTCTCGATGGCCTTCCACTGTTACCGTTGGGAGTAAACAGTGTGTAATTGGTCGTTTTGCGATTTGGCCGTCATAACCCCTTAGTGGTTTAGGTCGTGACAGTGGGAGTGGTTCCAGGTGTAAGGCTTCACATATCGCTGGGACCAAGGACTCGTTTATGACTGTGTAAGCACCGGTGCATCCACTATCTACAAGGGAATCCTTAAGCAAGTAGGTCCTCCCTTGTGAAGATAGCGTGACTTGTGTGCGGAAAGGGCGACGTGCCAGGGCGTCATTGGGAGTGTCTACCAGGCACACTTCATGAGTACCTCTTACCGTGACTTTGGAAGAGGCTATTCGTTTCCCGAATCCGAAGAAGAACCGTCGCTACCTGTGGTGTCGACGTTGTCGATTTCGAATTCTTCGTCCATATCTATCGCGTGGAGTCGTGCTTCCTCGAAGGCCTTTTTGCCGGCCTCGGTTTGGGTAGTTATTGTGCAGTTGTTTCGGTAGTGGCCTTTCTTGCCGCAGTTGTAGCACATTGGTTCCCTTGGTTTTGGATCGGCCTTGACATCCAGGGGCGTAGCGGTCGTAGCCCCAGTGACAGGTATGAGGCGTACATTGGCCGCGGTTCGTGTGGTAGTCGGCTTGACAGTGGCCTTCGTGAGCTTTGCATCTTTGCATCTAGCACGGTATGAGTTATTCAGTTTCCGAAGGTATTCCTTTACAGCCTTCAAGGTGGTGAACCCCCCACGGTTTCCCATGAATCCCTCAGGTTCTTCCTCAATTTGTTTGGAAGGTAATACTCCACCATAACGGTTTCGTCAATGTCAAGGACGGTGCCTAGTCGAATGAAGTCTGAATAGAAGTCGATGAAGGGCCGGATTCCTTGCTGTAGAGCATGCATGTCACGCCATGCATCATTACGTCGGTCTGAGTGCTCGTAGGAAATAGAATCATACCCCGAAAGAGAACCTACGAATCATACCCAAGTACCGAATCAACCCCACCAAATCAACCCAAATAGAGGTATGATCGGTAATTCTATGCTGGGATGATTTGGAAGTGTCAAAGCCCAAACTACGAAGGAGAAATCCGCGATCGGTTATGATCATAGAAAAAGGAGTTTCCGACCGCATTGATGAGAACCTGTCGAAATTGATGCAGGGGCATGTCGAATTTGGCCCCCACGCTTCCCAGCCACCGTGTGATCAGCCACCTGATTTGACTGTATTAGACTGGCCCCGGAGAGGTCCTACACATCACATACCTGATATTCTAACAAAACAAATTATCAGCCAAAAACATCAGACGAAAGTCGAGTGAGCGAAATTCGAGCCCGGGGGTGCCGCACTTCACGCGCAGACACCCATCGCCCGTAGGGCCCCGAAGGAATAATTCACTACGCTGCGCAGCGGGGCGAGTAAGCTCAAACCCCGCCCCGAACCCCGCCCCGAACCCCGCCCCGTTGCGCAGCGCAAACACCACCGTCATTAATAATCAAGTCGACAACTACTACCAGACGCTCAGTAAGCCTACCGCTACCATTAACTTATTAAACCCTCTACCGTATATCAAAAGCATCTTTAAGATCCCATCAAACATACCCCAAGCAATGGCAAATACCAAATCAACCCCATATTTAGGTGAAATTTGGTGTGGGGTATGATTCAGTAATTAGGGTATGATCGGTAAGGATCCATACTTGGGTATGAATAGTAATTCGCCCGTGCTCGTAGATATCGGCCAATTCGTCCATGATCTCACTGACAGATTGGTATGGGTTGGTGGAGTTCCGAAGTCTTCTGTGCATAGTGTGCTGTGCAGCCTTACCGCCGAGTCGTGAGACTACGTAGGCTATCTTAAAGTCTTCGATAAGGTAATGATCGCTATTAGCCTTGAATTTCTATTCTATTCTGGAGGACCAGTCGTCCCAGGTAGGGTCAATACCGTCGATAAACAGAGGTGGGTCTGGGACCTTGACTGATTTCTCTTTTGAACGTCTAGGCGTGCGTTCTTCCTCGATCGAGGGCAGCCGTGAGTCCTTCATCGACTGTAGGTCAAGGTTATTGACTTTCCGCTGCAAGGAAGTCATATCCTTCTGGAAGTCTCGGGCCAGTTGGTTTGCCTCCTCGGTCATCCTGTGGGCCTGAAATAAATCGTTCATGGCCAGGTCCTTTTCCATCACGGCGGTGTGATATCGAGTAGCAACCTCCCGGAAATCGTCTCGCTCCTGACGAATTTCATTCAACATAACCATGAATTCGTCAGGTTGGTGCTTGGCTTAATGTTGTAGTTGTAGGCTATTAGCGACATCCCAAGGCGTTTCTGCCGAGTCTACCTCGTCGGCTGCATCATCTGGTAGAACTGACACCCGTCGGAACTTGGTTTGCTCAAGTAGGGTCTTGATTTGGTCCATTCTTTCGATGTTGGACTTTGCCATGGAAAAGAAGGTTTTGAAACAAAGTGGAGAGGAGTTTAAATGCTCCGAAAGAATGGGTGTTGGGGACACCAGATGTACTAGAGAACAGTGAAGTTTCCCCAAGGCGCGTCGAAATTATTCGGTGTTGAGAATAAAAATTTTCACTGTGAAGCCCAAGGGGTGTTTCTTTGCGGGGGTTTAACACACTTATCTCTTGATCGTTTAAGGTGTTAAGAAGACTATAAGTGCTTTGAATAATAGCCTTTCGAGTGCACTTGCTCCGCTCAGAGGGTCCCTTGTCTCGTAGTGAAGTTGTATGCGGGGAAGCTTGCAAATGGTGTTTTGATGGTGTTGGCTATTTCTTTCGATTCGCTAGCCGTACGAATGGTCCAATGCCTTGTTTATCTCTCGACCACTGTTTGCCGAGTCCGATTCGCTCTGAAATCGAATTACCTGTCTGGTAGGCTTACCCAGGGATACGATGGCTCAACTTGGTTTCTTGCCAAAGCCCCTGCCAGCGCGTTTCTTTGAATTCGTCCGCTAATACAAATAAAATGAGTGGGTTGACCTTAGTTATAGTGTCAGGACCGATACAGATACAATATCAATGTAGGTATTTTGAATAAGATAACTAAGGTACCGAACTACTACCTGGGCTATAACGATATATCGTTTCATGGAGACAGTATCGTTACAACCAAATTATCGTTAAGCCTAGATTTACACTAATTACTACTGAAATACGCCTGAATCGATGCCTACTTTTGCGCAGAAGCCTTACGAGCCCTGATCTCTCTTTCATATCGATTTAGACGTGTGATTAGTACATCATCGCCGTCGTTTTGTTGTTCCTCGTATAATTGTAGACGTTCCAGTAGCTTTAGGGCCTCTGAATCCTTGACACGAGGTATCGAAATGTCCTCTTCATCAGTCTTGTAAGCCCGTTCTTCATGACTGTAGGTAGCTGCAATCAGGTCTACAATACTCGTATCCTTATCTTTATCAACTACATCCTCATTGGTAGGATTTAGGAAACGGGCCACATGCATTGCCGATTTGATCTTTTCCTGGGAAGCTAAGGCCTGAATCCGCTTATTCATTTGAGACAACACATCGTCGTTCAGCGTCAGTAACTGCCCGGCGTCGTTTTCGAGTAGAATTAGGCGGTGGGGGGAGATAGGTGCCCTGGGAACCACTGGAATCCTGTCCCAATGGCGGCGACGATGGCGAGGATATATTGTTTAGGGCCCTTGGATATAACGATATTACTGAATTTACTGGGCAAATGCTAACGATATCGTAGTAGACAAGTTATCGTTATTCTACACCAAAAATAATCATTGCATGGCTGTGCAATCGTTACAACCAGAATATCGTTATGTGGCGAATCGTTATAGCCCAGGTAGACTGTATATAGGTAGGAGGGAGGCATCAAGTAGTAGATGGATGCCTCTGCCAAGACACGCTAGGCCTGAATAGGTAAGAGGGCTAAGTGGTGTGTCAAGGATGTAGGGTACGCTCGTAACAAAGCTTACATTTTATTCTATAATTTTAAAAAAAAAATCTTAAAATTTTAATAGAAAACAAAAAAGGTATTCTATATGTTAATAATATATATCTATTTTTTAATAGTTGCGGACGCTAATTTGTTTACCCGTGGTATCTAATTAAAAAGCGTAGATCTATCGAATTGATTATTATCTGCATATACAAATTCAAGATTTTCAAGCTTAGTTCTATCTTATTCTTTTATATATACTAATAGTAGTAATAGCTATCTATATCGAATTTATCGAATTTAAGAGCGTGTAAATAGAGGTAATATGTAAATAAAAGTGGAAACGAGTAGTACTTCTATTTAGGCGAAGGTTAAGCATCTTCTTTATTTCTATCAAAAGCCTTCGCAAGTAATTAAGCGTTATTGGTGCGTTTAGAAGATATAGCTGAGATTTGTATAGCTTCAAAATTGATTAGATGCGATTATTTGCGATGTGGCTACTTGATTTAAATGATTTTGCGGAGAGATTTCTATGCTACAGTACGAATTTGGGTGTGTGATCTCCGGTGCTAAGCATTCCAGACATTTTTAGATACGCTAAAAGCGCATACCTGGCATCCAGCCTGGCATCGCCGGCGCGCGAGCCGCCCGACCCTTCAGCCAGAAAGAAAATATCTTCTACACATATCAGAATTCAGGACTTTGGACTGATCGCATTGGAGGTTTATTCGCGTACGATGATCTCGGCTTATCAACTCGACGGTGGGACACCGCGGCCTTTCGGACACTGACACGTCAATTACATGGAATAGTGTCACAGGCGATGCACCCGAACATTGCACGCTTGTTTCCGAACCAGATAGTCCGCCATGCCTCGCAGCGACTGTTGATTATCCCCCAGTACGACCTAGATAAGTTATCGGTTCAACATAAAACCAACGAGGGGCATAGCAAGAGGACCCAGCATGCTATTCATAACCTTGATCCTCTAGAGAAAACTAACTGATGACTCGCTGCTTTCGCGTCCAATCAAGAAGATTTGGCGAAGATGATCAAGAATCCCTCCCATAAAACTGACGGATTGATCAAGGTCGCCCAGAAAAAGCTTCGAGAAGTAGTATCCCGTAGGCAGCTTTATGTCTCAACAGTCGACACCTTAAGGGTTTTCCATCTCAAGAATCCCGCCGACGTTGCTCTCGACGTGAGATCTCATCTATTAAACGACTTTGAAGCGGAGTTGAAAGACAGGGCTCAAAGAAGGCAGCAGCTGGATAGTGATATTGAAACGTTAGATAATAGTGATGTTGAGAACTAAAGCATTCAGCCGGCGTTTTTCTTAATTGCCTGACTATTTCACTCGCTTAAAACCCGAAAGTCACAATATACCGTAGAGAAGCACTGTAATATCTCCCTTGCTATTTCAAGTTACATAATCTACATCGAGGAAGGAGCTGACCAGAAAGCTTCCAAGCGCCCACGGATGGCTGGAGAAGCACACCGACGAGAGGAATCTCCCCCACGAACAGCTGGAGTAGGGGAAACCCATTTAGCGGGACGTCAGGGAACTCAGTAGCTACTCAATCGACACCCTATGCAGTCACAGTAGGAAACCTAAGGAGGACAAAGCAGCTAGTAGTGAAATTGGAGAATTGGACCAGGAGAAGATTAGTGCAGAGGGATGCTAGATCCAAGGGCGTCTGTATGGAGTCGAGAATGTTGATGCTGAATACGCTGAATGCGAAACGCGAAGTCCATTATCTGTCTTCACGCGGACTAGCGTTGCTTAACACAGCCTTCACAGCAGACATCTAGCCCACAATCAGATAGCGCTCTGCATCCTTCACGACCACAATCTTTAACCACCACACTCATTTTGCAGCATCGTTGTTACAGTACACCAAATAGCTCTTTTACGATCCACCTCGTCGCATCACGATACCCCCAGCTCTACCGAGTTCCCGACCATGTCACCCTCACTCCCAGCAATCTACGAAAAAGGAGCATCAAGATGACGAGGACAATTCGAGGTTGCCTATGAAAAAAGCCCTTTTCTTAGGCAGGACAGTGGGTCTCGCCGTACACACAAGCGCCTCTTCGTCCGTGATCGCTCGATCGAACATCGCCTCAGATTGCAGCCTTCTCTTCATGTCGGCGATGACGGTAGGCTTGTCGTTGAAGTCGTCGCTGCAGTCGGAGGGGAGAGCGAGACAGGCCAATTTAAATGCGTCGCGGATGTCTTTGCGTTGAGTGACGGACGCCAAAATTCATCTTCAACTGGGCAGGCTCTTCTTCCACCGTTGCCCTCGTCCTCTTTTTGTCCATGTCAGTGCCGCGCGTCAATCTGAGCCTGTTGTTGATGGGTAAGGAAAAGACTGATTCCATGGAGTGGCGTTTGTATATGTATATAGTAGCAAAGGCCTGTGGCAAAGGAACGTTAGTACCTCGACACACATATGATATGACTATGTGTACCAATCATCTGTCCACCTGATCATTGCCACCTGTCCGTGCGTATGACACACCTCGAACACCTATCAGCCTGAACGAGATTGGACTGCATTTCGTACGGCGAAATCCACTACCTTGGCTGCGGATGGAGATGGTATGCCGGCTGAGTGAGTAGAGGTGGCGCATGGAAGGCGTGAGAATGAAGATGGTATGCCGGCTGCGTGAGTAAAGGTGGCGTATGGAAGGTGTGGGAACTGAGATGGTATGCCGACTGAGTGAGTAGAGGTGGCGTATGGAAGGTGTGAGAACTGAGATGGTATGCCGACTGAGTGAGTAGAGGTGGCGCAAGAAAAGTGTGGGAACTGAGATGGTATGCCGACTGAGTGAGTAGAGGTGGCGCAAGAAAGGTGTGGGAACTGAGATGGTATGCCCGCTGCGTGAGTAAAGGTGGCGTATGGAAGGCGTGAGTATGGCGATGGTATGTCGGCTGAGTGAGTAGAGGTGGCGTATGAAAGGCCTGAGAATGGAGATAGTATGCCGGCTGAATGAGTAGAGTTGGCGTATGGAAGGTGTGAGAATAGTGAGGTGGTATATAAATAGGCCTCGCAAGGTATGAGTAGGGCTGTTGTGGAGGAGGTGGGTACTGGAACGCGTAGGGATCTTGAGAAGATGGAAGTGGTGTGGAGAGAGGCGGGGGGTGCTGGTAAGGAGGAGGTTGCGTTGGACTGATGTGGGTGCTTGTGAGTGTATGGTGTGGATGATTGCGCGCGCTCTACACGGTGTTAAGTTCACCGAGTGAATCTCGGGTTGTCGTTGACTGGATCCTTCCGATTGTAGTGATTATCCCAAAGCTTTCAGTGAATATAAACCTTTTTATTCGCTAAGCCACGAT